TCATCTAGTTAGCTGCTTCTTTCTTCTGGTCTCAGCTTACATGCCACTTCCTTCAAGAAATCTTTCCTATAAACTGAATTCTCTTTGTGTTTCTGTGCAAGCCACTGTACTTCATTAAACTGCCTTTAATATAACTTGTATCTTTTTCAGAATTACACATTAGATTGTAAACCCTTTGAGGGCAGGAAATATCTCTGACATCACTGTTTTCTCAATGCCTAATAATGACAGGACCATGATAAATACCAAATTTGTTTACTAACCAATTGACTAATGAAACAAAATTGTTCTGCAAAGTAAAAATAATCCCATCATGTCATCACATATTGTAGACACACATCTATATTTCATAACTTTTATAATTACTCTTGATAGACTATGGTTCTAATACCAGTTACAATAGATGAAATATTTAGATGACTGTCAGGTACTTCTAAATTTATGATCTTGAGATATTACTTTGTGTTGGTACTTGATGCAATAAACCATACAGGTGTATTTCTAATAAACTAAGTTCTAATTGAAATTATAATGGGTTCCCAAGCAGATTACTAGAGAACTTTAAAAATATCAATGAGAGAACAAACAGATTGCCATTTGATTTTAACACTGGGCTCTTAGACACAGATTGAGTTGGTCCTCATTGGCTCTTTTGCCCTAATGTTATTAAGTACTAATAACCTCAGGTATTATTGGCCTCATATTTAACATTCAGCTTTAAATGTGAAATGCCTTGCTTATTATTATTTTTTATTTATACTAGAAATCCTTGCTCCAGATATGTACAAAATAGAGCTATATTTGTTCTTAAACAACTTTCTAAAAGAATATTCCATTGTACTTTTGCATTATTTATCTCTGTCTCTCCTCCCTGGGTGCTTCTGCTAAAATTAATTTGCATTTAGACCTCAGGATTTTATATTGCCATTAGAATCATGAAATGTTTTTACTCAGCACAACTAAGAACTGATGTTTTACCTCCCACTAATGGACCTTTAATTAGGCACTGTAATGAACCATTCTGTCATTCCTTCATTTATGGAGAGAAGATTTTGTATATGCAAGATACAATTTTGACAGAACAACAGGTCCACTGAACCTTGCCGACTCACATATAATAGATCCTAAATTTATTATGCTTTTGTCAGTTGTTGGATTTATCATTTTAATGACACTGTCCACAGACTTATTTTGCTGCCAACGAAAAGCATCACCATACTGCAGGAATGTTTGTTGACATCTTGATCAACAACTCCTGGGGTCCCATTCTGACTGTAATATTACTACTTCGGAACCTTGAGCAAGTTATTTAACCTCTGTCTAAGGATTAATTGGTTAATTTTAATAAGTGCTTTGCAGTAAAAGGTGGGAAGTGCTATGACTGCTAATAGTGATAATAAAATGATAATGCAGCCTTTTATAATGCATTAGGCTACCTCAGACTGTGATTCTATTAAGTTGCCAATTAAAATATATGCTAACTCAATTTATTATTTTTCAGAAACCAAATCGCTATGATGATGGCCACATAATATTTTTTTTAACTTAGATCAAAAAGAAAAAAAATGGCCATGCTTGAGCTTAAAAACATTTTTTTTCAAGTTAAAAAAAAAATCAACATTCTATGATGATGGACCAATTGGGAACAGAGATAAGCTGCACAGAAAAATACCAGATGGTTGTAGCCTGATTAAATGTAGCTCTTGTACATTAAGTTGATTGTTCTTTTATTAACTTGTCTCCAAACTGTTTTCATTTATTTTCTATGATTATTTATTTATTTGACAAATGCCTTTGTTGGGTATAATCTCAAAGAGGTCGTCCCAGACAAATAGGAAGGAAACACACAATTAACAATAATACCAGATTAAAGTGAGTAGAAACAGACAGAGGTAAAGAAGCAGTGACTTGAAAATTCAAAAGAAAAAGCCATGCATTCTCTTGGGCAGATATGAAGACCTTGACAAAGGAAATGGCCTTAAAACTGGACAGGGGCAGATAGATAGGATTTGGCATGGAGAGACGAAGGTGAGGAAGAATCCAAAGAAAGTGCATTCCAGAGGAAGAGAATAATGGGAGAAAGTTGCAATGCCAAGGAAACTGACGTGTGGAGAAGCAGGGTAAGTGTGGTTTTACTAGAATAAGACAGAGGCTGAAAAAGTAGTCTGGATAGTAATGAGGGTCTGCGTTATGCAGGGGAATAGTTGGTGCTGTCCCTGATTTACTTGGAAATCTTTCAGGGTTGTGAGAATATTGGGAAAAAACCCATGAGTTGGTAGGTGGGAGTTGTACTGGAATATTCTGCTTTGTTGAGAAGAGGGAAGAGGAAAGGAGAACCATGAGGATGTAAGAAAGGTGTGTAAACAAGGTGTGATACCAGCATATGACAGGATTGTTTTTTGCTAGATAAACTCTGCGGGCCTATGACACATACCATTTAAGAAATAACTCCTCAGTAGCCTCCTCTGCAAAATGAGAATAAAACCAGGTACCCCATCCCCTCACTCCCTTCTTCTCTGAAACCTTCTATTTCTAGGAGTCCAGAGTCTCTCATGAGTTGTTTCCCTCACTGATTTCTTCCCATTCAGTTTTCCTCCCTTCCCCTATGGTCCTCCAAGCTATTCCTTATGTTCCACATATGAATGAAACCATATGATAATTGTCTCTCTCTGCCTGACTTATTTCACTTAGTATAATCCCCTCAGACAATCATATTTCTCAGTGTTGAATCATCATGTACCACCACTGCTAAAGCATGAGCTCGCCTGGTTCATTAGTGAGATTAAACAGATTAGTAGAGTTAATGGAAAAAAAGAACGAAACACAAGAGTGCCTGGATATAGAAAGATCTCAGTAAATGTGACTGAGACAGAAAACCATTCTTCTTATTATGGATACAACATACAGCTGTGGCTATTCTTTTGAAAATAGGTACAGAGTGTTCAGAGAGAAAGCATGGAGATCAGTTGGTAAAAATGCAGGTAAGAAATGCTGGAAACTTTAATGAAGATAGTGGGGATGAAGCTGGTGAGAAGTGTTCAGGTCCTGGGTATATTTTAAAGGAACAAGTGAGAAAGAGGTTGGGGTGTAAAAGAAAGAAAACAGTCAAGAATGAATTCAAAATAGATAAATGGGGATTAAAGAGTACACTACTAGTGATGAGCACTCAGATTGTTGGGATTGTTGAATCACTGGATTATGTACCCGAAACTAATATAACATTGTTTGTAACTATACTGGAATTAAAACAAAAAAATAGATAGGAAAATCTTTAAAAAAAATAATAAAGTGGGTTAGATTAAAAAAAAAAAAAGGATGAATCCAAGATACTTGGACTCAAGTGATGAGTGTTTTCTTTTATAGACGCAGGGTAAACTGTGGTAGAAGCAATTTGGGGTGAGAAAATCAGGTAAATTTAGAGCCAACTCAAACTGTCAAATAGATACTTAGGTATAAAAATCTGGAATTCAGGAGGGAGGATCAGCTAGAGATATACATTCAGAATTGTTTGTATTTGGATGATACTACAAGTCACACAATTAGTTGAAATCATCTAAGCAAGTAGGTCTCAATCTCAGTCACACATATGAAACATGTGGAAACTTTACATAGTATTGAAGCCTAACAGAATCAGAATCTTTGGGGGTTATGTTTGGGAAACTGTATCTTACAAAACTGTATGTAAAAATGTTTAACCTAATGTTCTGATTCGTATCGAAATCACAGGCTCATGGAGTGAGTTTTTGAGAAAAAAGAGATGAGAGACAGTCATGAGCTACTCCAATGTTTAAAGGTCAGGGAGTTGAGGTGGAACCAGCAAAAGACAGTGAAAAGAAGTACCCAGTAAAATGGGAATGAAAAGAAGAGAGTGGTAAAGACAAGTGAAAGTGTTTTAAAGGGGGAGTGATTAACTGCAGATTGTGGGATAAAATAAGAATTGATAATTGGTCATTGAATATGAGAACATGGACAACAATAAAATAAATTAACTTGACCTGACAAATGATATTTCAGCAAAATAGTGAAGATAAAAACCTGCCAGAGGTGAGGTCAAAAGAAAAACGAGAGGAATGTAGCATGTAACAACTCCTTAGAATAAAGCTATGGGTAAAAAACAAACAAACAAACAAACCAGGAAAATAAAGTTGTGAGTAGATAGATATGGGCACAAGGCAAAGTTGTTCAAGAAACAACTAGGGGGAGAGGAAAATACTGATAAAGGAGAAAGGTGGGGACAGTTGTAAGAGATACATCCATGAGCAGCTAAAAGGGATGGAATGTATGAGTGGACAGTAGAACATTGGAGGTAGCATGGGGTTCCTGCTCCTAAGAAGACAGTCTATGGATCTAAAAGATAAAGTAGTTCAAGAGATGATGATGATGGTGGGAGCTTGTGGCAGTTCTCTTTAGAAAGCTTCTATTTAATCAATGAAACAGAAAGTAAGTTCTTGAGCTCAGGATGAACTTGGGGAGCAGGTATTAGAGGTTTGAGGAGAAAGGAGATGATCTGACTGAAACACCTAGGAGAGTCAGTAGATTAGCAAAATACAGTTGAAGCTATAGTAAGTGCCCATTTGAAATTAGTGGTAACCACTCAAGTGATCCCAGTCTGTATGATTATGTGCTTTTCTTCAGTTGCATCCAGTTCTCAGTTCAGAGAAGATGGAGAATTGGATTTAACCATGGTTAGAGTTTTCAAGGAAAGTGTAATAGAAGGGAAGAGAGAGCAAAGGAACTGAGGGTCTATATGAGGGGGTGATTACAATAATGGATTATAGAATCTCAGCTGAGAAAGGAAGAAACATGGAATCTTTTTAAAATGAGAAGAATGAGGAACAATGTAAAAAATTGTTGGAGCTGGGGTGATGGAGGGAGCGACCCTGAAAAATAAGGGGTTGCTGAAAATGAGATAATGGAAGGAACATCGAGATTAGAAAATTACTTAGCATAAACATCAAAGTATGCTGTCAGACCGTCCTACGAGACTTGCTTTCACTTACAGTACTGACATCTGTCTCCAGTGTGTTCGGGCTGGCAGTGGCAGTAGGGCTGGTTCCCAGCAGTCACACTGCAGGTCCCTCCATTTTGACAAAAGTCCTCACAGACAGTCTTACCACAGTTTTGTCCCGTGAACCCCAGTGCACAGCTGCAGGTGGGTCTCCCTATTGCAAAAGAAAAAGTAACAAAAAAGAAATTATTTGACTGGAATGGTTTATTTTCATGGAATCCTCACTAGATAAGAAACAGGAAGCCAAGATTCTGGTCAATGTTTTTCCACTAGTTAACCTGTGGTTTTAGGCAATAACTTGACCTCTGTGTGTCTTAGTTTTCCCATGTTCTAGTGAAGCCTAGATTAGAAGATAACTCAGGTTCGCATCAGGTAAAATAACTGGAGCTCATTTTATGCATAATTACATACTTGAACCAGTGTGTTATGCTCTGAAGTGTTTGTGTTATTTTTTGTACTTCTCTGTTCATGTCCATTTTGCTTTTTCAATTATTTTTGTTCCATTCATATAGTAATGCAGATTGTTTTAGCCATTAGAATATAAAATAGAGACAATCATATCTCTTTTGTTCTTTTTTTCCTTTTTTTCTTTTCTTTTTAGTGTTCAGTGATTCATTAGTTGCGTGTAACACCCATGTGCCCTCCTTAATGCCCTTCACCCGGGTACCCCATCCCCTCACTCCCTTCTTCTCTGAAACCTTCTATTTCTAGGAGTCCAGAGTCTCTCATGAGTTGTTTCCCTCACTGATTTCTTCCCATTCAGTTTTCCTCCCTTCCCCTATGGTCCTCCAAGCTATTCCTTATGTTCCACATATGAATGAAATGATAATTGTCTCTCTCTGCCTGACTTATTTCCCTTAGTATAATCCCCTCAGACAATCATATTTCTCAGTGTTGAATCATCATGTACCACCACTGCTAAAGCATGAGCTCAGACTTACAAATAAATATTTTAATAAGTTCAAAGTGGGCATGCCACCTATATTTATGCAATTAGTTATTTTAGTTGATTTAAAAATACATACTGCATTTAGTATATAAGCACTTAGTAAGTCCTACTTTATTTCATTTTGAGATTTTTATTATGCATGGGAAAGGACTGTCATTTTACTAAGATGATTTAAAGTCTAATATTAATAGCACACTAAAGCAAATCTAAGGGATCATCTATGGATATTTTTCTTTATTTGCTCAATAACACCACAAGTAAAGGTGAAAAATCCTTTAAGGTGTTTGGAACATAACACAGTTAACTGTTATATCAAGAATGAGTCTCTCTAATTGCCTAAGATGTCAAGGACTGGGTGAAAAATGGAGTACAGAGCTAGCTCTTGTAAGAGAGATTAAGGAAAACAAAATGAAATAATGGCCACCATTTGTATAGGGAAAAATGAAGTTTAGAGGTTGTGAAACTGTAAAGAAATAACATGAAAGAGAATAAAAAAAATTAGTTATAGATCTGAATTAACTAGGACTTGGAAATGTTACTCAGTTGACTAGCATCAGAGAATATCCAACCATCTCCTCTCTCAACTTTGTAGACATGAAGCGTAATTAGAATGGTCATAAAAATGGATGAGTATAAGGCTTAGACTTGAAGTGTGAAAATGATATGTTTTCTCTACTGCCATAGACTCTACATTCTATATTTTTTGAAAAGCACTCATAAGTGAATAAAATGCCTCCAAATAAAATCCACATATATTTCCAAGAGAATAAATAAGTTGAGGTTCCACAACCTACTTACTTATTTTGCTTTGAAAGCTCTCCACATACTTAAGCACACTTGAAGCTATTGCTTCTTAATGAACAAAGTTATATGCATTGTTTATGGTGAGTAGCATTGCTTTATAGCTTATGTATAAATCTTACTAGTTTGGTGGCAGACAAATGCTTATTAATAGGTTGAGAAGCAAGGTAAATTTTACACACATTAAAAGCTGAGTCATATCATGTTTTACATTCCCAGAAAATGGCTTTAAAACTTTTAGCTAATTATTTTTCTTATAATGGTAGTGAATTTTCTAGTTGTTGCTTACATATAGACAAAATATCTTCATGGGAATGGTAGTGGTTGAAAAACAAAGACACAAACAAGAGAACAAATAGTGGTAGAAGATGAAGAGGATAGAGCATTGTTAGAACACAAGTACTAAGGAAAATGAAAGACCTGAGCAAAAGAAGTAATTCCTCTTCACCAACAAGAACCAGTGAATACCTTACCAAGAAATAGAACATATAAACAGGAATACAAATTAACATGAGCTAAATGTGAAAAAAAATAGACCAGAAAGTACAGGAGAAATCAAAAGGAATTAGAATAATCTCAAAAAGTGCCATATGGTGGTAGGACTTAGGCACCATAGATTTATGGGTTTTTTCCCCCATTATTTTCCATGTTTTTTAAAATTAGGTGTGAAAAACATTAAAGTGATAGAAGTTTGAAAGAAACATATGCAACCCACTAAGGCACTTGAAAACTGCTCTACCCCAGTCACTGAGAGAATGACACCATGCTTTTAGCTCATCTACAGCTGTTTTGAAACTAGAGCAGAGCGACCAGTTTTTCCCCAGCCTCCACCCCCAGCATATGCCTCACACCATTTAGATTCTGGCTGAATTATTTTCAAAAGGCTTCTTTCTCTTCCTTTAAAGAGAAGATTTCTTTTTGACAAGAAGAAATCTTCATATTCAGGGGAACATTACCAACTCAAAGCTGTGTGTTGATACAGCAGATCTTTTGTTTGCTGATGGGAAATGAACCATCTGTCACAGAATTTTATAATGGGCTCCATCTAATATTTTCAGGAATCTCTCTGGGTGTACCCTAACAAGTTGCATTGGATTTATTTATAAAGATTTTTTAGGTAGCTCAATTTGATTTTGGCATTTGAAAAGGCAACAATACTGTTACAATGACTAAGGTATAGATTTATAGCAGTGAAGCATCCAGGGAGCTTGGGAGTTGACAGCCTATAAGGGTAGTATAATCAGGAAGAGCATCAATTAACTGGAGGAAGGAGGGGGAGATCAGTTTGTTGCTTCTAATCAGTCTGCTTTCTGTAGCATTTAGACCTTTAAAGTGTGGGTTGTCAGGCTGCCTGGACATATGCTATCTGTGCCAAATACCAGTGGTGGAACCATGAGCATCACTTCTCTGTTTCTTTCCCCCTATTAAAAAAAAAAAAAAAATGGGGATAATAATATGGGGTTGTTCTGCAGAATCAAGTAAAGTAAATGAGATTATACATGCAAAGCATTTCTAAAGGTACTAGACACACAGAAAGCACTCAGTGACACTTTAGCTCTGTTTATTATTATTACTGTTATTTCCACTGAGATTCACCATTCTTTATTTTGTGACTGTGTCCTAAAGAGACCCTGTAACATTCTAAGAGAATCTTTTGGAAAACTGTCTTAAATTACGCATTTTATCTCTATTATTTATTTAAGATAAAACAAATTGTGGGTTCCTGGAGGGAAGTGGGGTACAAGAGATGGGGTGGCTGGAGGATGGACATTGGGGAGGTTATGTGATATGGTGAGTGCTGTGAATTGTGAGAGCGCCAAATCCTAACCACTAGACCACCAGGGAGGCTAATGCTGTGAATTGTGTAAGACGGATGAATCACAGACCTGTACCCTCAAACAAATAATACATTATATGTTAATAAAAAAATAAATTTGTATGGCAGTGATGGGATAAAGCAGAAAAACTCCATCAAGTCTCAGACTTCAACATCTTTAACTTTGGAAGATGGGTCTTTTTCCTCTCTTTACTTTCTCAACATGCTTAATTCTACACTTTAGTAAGAAAGAACACACACATACAAACCCCACGAAACAAACACAAACACAAAAAATCACACCTAGCATTTTTATCAAGTCCATTTACTTGTATAGCTTCAAATTTTGATATATACTTGAGCTTTTTAAGAGTCTACACTCACAGCTTCCAGTTCTATCAAATGCATGAAAAAATCTTTGATCATAAAGTCACATTCCAATCCTTCAGTGGATTTACAGTTTTTATTTTTTTCAATATACAAAAAGATGTGTCTTCACCTGTTACTTCTCTTTGCTATTTCAGAAAAGAGGACAGATCCCTCAATATGTATGTATTGTTCACATAAATCAATTCTGATTCCCTAGTGGTAAAAAAGGTTGAGGGATGGAGAAGTTAATGGGTATTTATATACTCTTGCAAAGCTTATCTCTGATCTCTTAATCCCTAAATCCACTGATTTCTTTTCAATCATCCTCCTCCTTAAATACCTGCATAATTTACACATTTTATTTTTGAAATTTATTTGTTTTTTATTACACATTTTATTACACATCTACTCTTAAAAAATTCTTGGTTTCTAAGACACTACCATTGTTGATTTCCCTTTTTCCCTTTTCAGTTGCCTTTATGTTTTCTCTTTCTGTCTCTTAAAATATATTATTCCAGACTTCTTTTTGGTGATACACTTTCATGGCTACAATAATTGTCTCTCTATTCAAATACTTTAGCATCAGTTTCCCGACTCTGGGCTCATTCGCTTTCCTAAATGACAGGCCTTCAGTCTCAGTCTTTGTTGTATGTCTCGGTATATGTGTCTCTGGCTGCACGGTAGGTTCAACTCTCCCATGACCCACAAGAGAGAAAATTCTTCTCATAAACATTGTACTGGTAGCTTACACAATTTCTGCAGACTAGGTTCTCCTAGTACTAGGTCTGCTCCATATTCAAGTTCGACACTGTATGTTAGCAAAGTGCCTTACTAAGCTGTGTACAAGTGAAGCTTAGTTTATTTGCTCCATTAATTCATTATTAATTTATCTGCTTCTGTTCATAGTCAAATGGACACTGGTTGCATATATCTTCAAAAATGTGCCAGCAAATTTTTATGCATCAAGTTAAATAATAAATAAACTGTTTAGATTTAACTAGATAACCAAATATGTCAAATATGGCAAAAATATAACTAAAGGGTTAATCATCTATAATCAGTAATATACATTAAGGAATATTCATTGATACAACTAAAGATTGTATTGCTCATAAGAAGAAAGGAAATGTCTCGGATTCTCACAGAGTTCTTAAAATTTTGCTGATCTTACATGGCCCTTACATACCAAAACTAGTCTCAGTAAAAATGGTTAATTCTG